TGTAGTTGTCTTTCCCCGGACTTGCCATCCTGTCTGAAAAGACAGGGTAAAGGACAGGCAGTTAAAATCTAGGAGCTTTTGTTGATCAGATGCAATCAGATGGTTCATGGTTTTTCTTTCCAAAAACTAGCCAGCTGTGCAAACAAACGTTGACTGCACTGCTGACATTTAAGGTACTGTGCTTTCTCGTCCCTCTCCTCTCTCCTCCTATCACTTCCTGCAGGTGTTTCTGGCTCTGGAGCTGTGGAGTCTGGATCTGTGGCTGCGGGTCACCTGCTGCCCCCGTGTTCCTGATCGACACCCTCTGCTGCAACGACTATTGTTACTAGTCCTATTGTTATTATTGTTATTATAATCATTAACATTACGATTGTTATTATTAACACTACTATAAATATCTGTACCATTTTTCATTTAGTCTATAGCAACATCACCTTTACTGTCTGTACCTCTGTGTGTATATTGTGTAGGCTGCCTCCCTCCCCTCTCTCTCCTTCCATCCCTCTCTTTTTCTCTCTGTTCCTCTCTTGCCCTCTCTCTCTCTCTCTCTCCTTCACCCCAACCGGTCGAGGCAGATGGCCGCCCACCCTGAGCCATGGTTCTGCTCGAGGTTTCTGCCTCTTAAAAGGAAGTTTTTCCTTGCCCCTGTCGCCTAGTGCTGCTCTTGGTGGGAATTGTTGGGCTTCTGTAAATAACATCATAGAGTATGGTCTAGACCTGCTCTTTTATGAAAAGCGCTGTGAGATAACTGTTGTTGTGATTTGGCGCTATATAAATAAAACTGAATTGAAGGTACACATCTAACAGGACCACGACCCGGACTGTTCGCATGAAGACAATGCACACAGCTGACGTTAATCCATCCAATAGCACTTTGCTGTACTGAGCTTTAGTAACTTCTCCACGTGCAAAAGCACCAACATGTTTTTGGGCAATTCCTCATCGGGTACTAAACTAGCTTCACAGCTAACTTAACGTTAGCTAACGTTACTTAGCTAATGCTGCGTTGTTTCACATATTTCAAACCCATTGAATTGCAGTGACAACGGCATCTGTTCCCATAACACACTGCCATAACACGGATTCTTACCCGCTGAAGATCCAACTTAATGTACCTCAATATGTGTACAGGAGTTTAATAGCTGCCTTTACAACATTTGCTGCGCTGCCTCTGTTTCTAAGAGCAAAATGGCGTCCTATTGAAACTTTCCCAACAAACCTTTCGAGTCAACAACACCTGACGCTACTTCCGCCAGCTGTCTGCCGTTTTTTGAAACTAATGCCGCGTGCTATGGAAGACTGATCCTGACAGATTAAGAAATAAATACATACATAACTAAATGCTCAATAAATAAATAAGCATCCATTAAATGCACAAAAAATAAAGTAAATAAATAAATGTAGGCAGTAATTAAATTATAGGAGTCATAAATGTATACATGTCTTTTCATTAGCTTCTTTGTTTATTCACCTTTCAAATAATTACCTTATTTATTTATTGGCTATTATTATCTTAAACTTTTTTTATTTTATAAATTACGTCTTTTTTAAATGTATTTATTTATGTGTGTGTTTTATTATTTTTGTCTGTTTTATTCTTCCTTTGCATTTTGTACCCTATTTATTTAACCAATGGTATTTATTTCTGCTTCTCCTTTTTACATTTCTCTATGCATTTCTGCCTCATTATGCAAATGAGGAGGGACTATGTCTCAAGGGGTGAACATCTCCCCTATCTGTGGACCAGTCAAATGGCAGAGAACTCTACATGCATCAACAAGCTTGCTCCTCAGACAGTCAGATGGCTTCCTTCAGTGAACTGAGGTGTTTAGCAACTCTGTTCCGGCACCTCAACATTTTACTCTTTGGTGTACTGGGACTCCTCCCAAGCTGAAGGTACTCTCCTCTGCCCTCTCCATATCAGGTTCTCTGGGTGCTACGTGACACTCACCTGTTCCCATTCTCGCCTGCCTGCTAAACTCTGATCTGGTGAGTACTGGCTGTAAAATATTAAAACGCACACATAAATAAATACATTTAAAAAAGAAGTATTTAATAAATAAAGTTTATAACGGACAATAAATACAAGGGTGAATAAATAAAGCAGCTAATTAAAAGAGATGTACACATTTATGTCTCATTGTATAATTTAATTACTGCCTACATTTATTTATTAACTTTATTTTTTGTGCCTTTAATAGGATGCTTATTTATTTATTGAGCATTTATTTATTTATGTATTTATTTCTTAAAGGAGGATCAGTCCTCCATAGAACTACAGGTGGAAAGGGGCATTCTTTTCATCCATGCCACTATGGATGAAAAGAATGCAGCTATCACTGAATCACTGGGTTCAATTAAAAGCCATAGTAGATCATCAGCACAGGACACTTTAAAACCTTGTTGGGAAAAGGAGAGGAGGAAGGCATAAAGCTTTGGGTGGACAGTGACAAAAAAAGCAACAGAACTTAAAGCAGCTAAATTAAACATTAACCCAACAGTAACAGTGCCAGTCTACCAGCTTGGATACTTCCTAAAGCCACAGTAGATTTGACATTATAAGAAAAGAAGAAAAAGCCAGGGAGTTTAATTTGAATTCACATACCATACAGGCATGGGCTATATTAACAGTTAGCCTCCCACAGTTTTGTCCAGATCTACACACAGTGTCATAGAATTTAGTTAATAAAAAAGGAGTAGCTTTTATTGTTCCAGAGTTTCATCTTACAATAGGGAAGAGGATCAATGATGAATTATCAGTTTACACAGGAGAAATGCTCCAAATATTATTAGACATGCAGTGGGTGGAGGAAACCAGACCACTGACAGCGATCATTTGCTCGGACTCACGTTCATCGCTTACCAGTTTACAGAGCAGCCATACATAAAGCAGGGCAGATGTTTAGATAGAAGTACAACAAACATCACACAAAGTTCAAATAATGGGTCTTACAGTCATATTTTTAAGGGCACTTCTTCTTCTTCTTTTTTGTTTTATGGCAGATTGCAACCATGACTTTTAAAGGTGCATTAAAGGAGTATGTAGCATGAACTATGTTATAGGGACTACTTTATATCTTCAAAAATAAATAAATAAAAACAAATAAAACAAATTTGTTTATGATTTAGCCTCATCCTCTCATCCCTATATTCCCTACTATGTAATAGTACATGTTCTGCATCTTCCTTGGACCTACATTCCAAACATTCATCCGATTGACTTTTGCCCATTACAAACAGTGTTTTATTTTACCCTGTGTGATCAAACATTAGCCTGGTTAAAATGCTATCCTCTCTTCTGTTACTTCTATTCACACCCTGAGCAGTAATAGATTTTTGCAAGCTGTAATATTTCCTTCCACTTTTATCCACATCCCACCTGTCCTGCTATTTCTTCATCATTTCTTTTTTGATTATCGCCTTAGCTTCTCCTTTTCCAAGGGGTATATTTATGACATCGTTTGTCCTGGTGGATTTTTTTAGCTATTTTGTCTGCTCCCTCGTTCCCTTTTATACCTACGTGGTCAGGTACCTAGCATCTTTCCGTAGTGTCTGTAATCTAAATAAACTTTGTTGGATTTCTAGCACTAAAAGCTATCAATTCTCTCTATCAGTTTTCATATTTTGAATACTATAAAGGGCTGCTATGGAATCAACACAACACAGCACTCTGTCTGGTTTTACTTCCTCAACCCACTGCAGTTCTACAATAATCGCCATCATTTCTGCTGTGTACACTGACACCTGATCAGGTAATCTTTTCCCAATGCTTACATTCATTGTTGGTATATTCCTATTCCTCCCTTGTCTTTAGATCTGTCTCTATACATATCTAAGTAACTGTAATATTTGCTCCTTATGTACTGCCTTGCCAGATGTCCTTTCCCATCCTCTTCCTATTCGCTAATATATTTAAGTCTATCTCAGTTTTTGGAAATAACCAAATAGGGATATTATTAATAGGTGTAGGGAGGTTAAACCAGGTATTATTTAATCCATATTCCACTGATTTAGTCTTTGTTACCCAGCCAAAGCCATTACCTTTAAAATAACTGTACTCCCAACATTCCTGAATAATACTTTGCATGGTTTTCATAACCATATCCACGTAAGCATGAGTTTATCTCTTCTCAGGTCTGAGGGCACCTCTCCTAACTCAAACTGGATTGCTTTAATTGCTGTTGATCTCATTACACCAGCACAAATCCTCAATGCTTTGTTACTAACTCTATCCAACTTATATTTTTAATAGGTTATTAAAAAGGGTGTAGGATGTCAGTCTTCACAGCAGAGCTGGTGGCACTTCTACGGGCATTAAAGTGGGTTTTAGATAACACACAGGAGCATTCAGTCATTTGTAGTGATTCAGCAGCAACTGTAATTACAATCAAAGATCCTAAAACTAAGTCCAGACCTGATTTACTTGTGGAAATTATGCAGGTATTGTATATAATTCACAAAGCAGGGTATGAGGTGGGGTTTCTAGGGCACATGGGTGTGGAGGGTAATGCGGATGCAGATGAGGTGGCCAAGAAGGCAGTGCAGGAGGAAAGAGTTCAAAATAATTTACAGTACGGGTCAACAGATTACACAGAAAATGTGGCAAAAATCATGGGAACATGAAAAGAAAGATTACTCAGTACAAAGAATAGTATAGAAAGGAAAATGTGCATTTAGATGTAAGAGATGCAGTAGTTTTATCCAGATTGATAGGTAAACATCCTGATGGAAAATGTGAATGTGGAGACAAGGAAACAGTGAAGCATGTATTAGTTTATTGCAGAAAGTACTCTTGTCAAAGGAGGAAATTTTTCAGGGACCTGGGAGGAATTGGAGAATCTATATTTAGCCTAGGTACTCTACTTAATTTGGACAGTCGGAACAAAATGAAGACACTAATGAGTACATACATAAAACAGGATTATACAAAAGGATATAGGAAATAACCACAAACTAAGAATAACGAATAACGAACAGTGGAGGGCAGCAATACGCCATCGACGTGTCTAGTCTGCTGGTAAGAAGCAGAAAAAGAAGAAGCAGTAGCAGAAGAAGAAGGTTTCTAAACTGAAGAAAGGAAAGCAAAATATTTAGCCTACCACCTTCTTTTCAACACTGAGTTCACTGCATTACCGTGAGTACATTTCCAACTTATTTAGACAAAGACAAGGCAGGCTGGCCGTACATGTTTTCATGTAACGCCATATGAATCGTTGTGAAGTTAGTTTAATATTCAACATTCGTCGGTTTTCGTGTCTGTTACCTTCAATAGCTCTGTGTCAAAATCTCCATTTCTCCCAGTTTTGGGATATATTGGAGAGCTAATTCAGGCAGAAGTTTCACAGCTGTGATCACCTCAAAATCACTGAAGATAACGACGCAGTCCAGTGCGCAATGCACTGAATGTCTGTCAAATGCGCCTGTCGCTGCAGGGGGAGTTAGGGACTGGGAATTCTGCAAATTGTAACACCTCCATTTCAATTGTGGTGTCTGAACAATAATGCTGCGATGATGTGTTGAGAAGAAATCCGCTTGACACTGTTCTTGATTATAAAAGTTTATTACATCAAAGAATTCAGCATCAATTACAAGCTCTGCAGCAGCTTGGAGAGTGACCCAGCCCGATAACCACTCTGTCTCTCTGTACATCGAACACAGCTTATATAGGACATGTTTAGGTCTCTGCTAAATACCATATAAGGGCACAGTGCTGTAGAATAAGTGTAACCATCTGTTAGACACCACAGAAGGGTACAGTCCCTTCATACACACTAATCTCTTCATACACACTAATCTCTACTCCCCCTAACACTGCACCCATCAATCATTACTTCCCCTAACACTGGGTCCACTGTGCCTCTCTCCAGCTCTGGGTCAGGGGTCAAGTTCTATAGGAGGGTTCACTCTTTGTACACCCATCAATCATTACTTCCCCATAAGGGTTCACTGTCCCTCTCCCCAGCTGCAGAGCATTATGTTAAACTGTAATGGTCAAATGCACATATGTTATACACCACACAATCTTCAATAACTTTTGTTTTCAACATAAAAATCTCAAACCACTGCTAATATAACTAGTGACCACCCTCAAACATTTCACACCTGTAAGTTTGTAAACAAACATGAAAATAATTCTTATTCTTATCTAAATTCTTAATTATGCACATTACAAGTGAATAATTTCAATAGCTTGCTCATTTGTGAATATATTGGCATAAAATCACCTCATCTGTTCTGCACATTCTCTCACAACTTTCACACCTGTAAGTTTCTAAAAAAAAAGGCCCTTAAAGAATCCAACAATATCAGGGACCCTTGGTGTTTCCTCGCCGTCTGGTACTTCGAAGACCTACCGTTGGCGGGTTTGTACAACCATGGCTCAAACCAGGGTTTTGCCTGCAAGTTTCTCGGGGTCCATCGTGTTTGGCTTGTGGGTGCTGAGCTCTTGTAGTGATCTAGGCCGGTAGCTCTGACTCAGTTCACTGGTTGATATCCTCTCTGTTAAGTGCAATTTATACTTCTGCGTCAAATCGGCGGCGTAGCCTCAGCGTAGCCCCCTACCCTACGCCGTCACCTACTGCGTAGCCTGACGTGCACCTGCTCAAAAATGTAACTACACGTCGAGTCGACGCAGACCGTAAGCTCTGTGATTGGTTGGCTGGGTAGCCTCGCAATGCCTCTGAGCCGACAAGAAGTACCCCGCGCTTTGAAGTAACTTTTACTAGCGGTCAAAACGGTGGCTGTAACACGGTGGATCGATATATTTGACCGTCATAACCCATAACACGAGAAATGACAGAATTTCAAATCAGAATGTGATCCAGACGGTCGATAACATTTGAAAAGGCTACACCAGCCGCACGTTTACAATTTTACCCCCATTTACATTAGCGGAGGGCTAAACCGGAAGTTAGCCTGCTCGACTGGCAAAGTCAGCACGGTGGACGCTGTAGCGCTACTGCCGACTGGCGTTTGGGGGTGTAATTGTAGATTGACGGACACATGGACGCACAATAAATGCATGGCCCTACGCAGGAGTATAAATCAAGCTTTACTGGTGGCGTAACCAACTCGTTGACTAACCTCCAAACTCCATATGTCGTTGAGAGTAGTGGAAGTTAATTCAAACCGAGATAAGGTTTTAAAAGAAACTTGATTGTTTTCTTAATCAAAAGTTTCCTAAAGTGACCGACTTGACCTCTCTTGTTCAACTGCAGTTGAACTGATGACAATTAATGGACTCTTTCAATTTTTTACAGCATGTTTCTGGCCCCACGCATAAAAAAGGCCACACGTTGGACTTGGTTTTTTCTTGTGGCCTACACATTGATAATCTGAGTGTTGAAGATCCTCAAATTAGTGACCATTATTGTCTTTCTTTTAATTTGTCACTTACCTCCATGCCTGCCATCTGTAATGTTTCATTAGTATCATTAGTTAGACAACACTTAGGGATTTCTCTGCCTCTTTTGAACCTCGCTCCTTTATTGAATGTGATGATGTTGATTTATTTGTGCAATGTTTTATTGACCACTGTCTGTCGGTTTTGGATTTGGTAGCAAAAAGATTTCAGGGTCACAGAAGAAGGTAATTTTAGGAGGAAATGTCAGAGGACTGAGTGCCAGTGGAAAGCCACTAAATTAGAGGTACACAGACTCCATTTAAAAGACATGATGCTAGATCTAAATGAATTGATAAAGCAGGCTCACTCATCTTATTTCTCTAATCTTGTCAGGAAATAAGAAAAATCCCAAAATCTTGTTTGACACCATTGAAAAGCTTACTGCACCCCCAGCTCCTCTTGTGCCTGTGTACACACACGCGGACTGTAACAACTTTTTGATGTTTTTCTTGAACAAAGTGCATGACACTAGGGCCAGTGTTAATCCTCCACTCATTCGTGGTTGTTTTATTATCACCGGTGTCGTCTTGGTCGTCCTTCGCTCCTGTCAGCTTACAGGATGTGAAGACCATAACAAGAAATATGAAACGAATATATGGAAAAAATAGTGGCATGCCAGCTTACCTCCTTTATGGAGCAGCACAACTTGTTTGATACTTTTCAATCTGGCTTTCGAAAATCACACTCTACTGAAACAGCTCTTATCAAAGTCTCCAGCGATGTGATGATGGCAGCAGACACTGGCCGCTACACTGTACTTGTACTTCTTGATTTGACTTCGGCTTTTGACACTGTGGATCACGATATATTGATCAGTTGGCTTCATAATGAGATGGGACTATCAGGATCTGTCCTTCAGTGGTTCTCTTCCTATATTCATGACAGAACCTTTAATGTTGCTGTAAATAATGTACAGTCTGATGTGACCAATTTGTCCTGCGGAGTGGCACAAGGTTCAGTTTTGGGCCCTATTTTGTTTTAACTGTACATTTTGCCACTTGGTCAAATTATCGGCTGTTTCAAGGATGTATCGTACCATTTCTACGCTGACGATGTTCAATTGTATTGTTCTTGTAATGATGCTGAGTTTCATCGTTTGCCTCTGTTTCTAGAGTGTGTGTCCTCCATCAAAGACTGGCTAGCCACAAACTATTTGCAGATAAATTCAAACAAGACTGAAACGCTGATTTTTGCCCCAAACCATAAGATCCCGCTGATCAAACAGCACCTTGGCTCTCTGGGCCCTTCTGTCAAATCCAGCCTCAGAAACCTGGGGGTTGTGTTTGACCAGGCCATGTCCCTGGAGACACACTCAAAAAAGCTCGTTCGAAATTGCTTTTATCACCTCAGGAACATCTCTAAAATCCGCTGTCAAAGAAGGATCTGGAAATGATAATTCACGATTTCATATCAACAAGACTTGACTACTGCAATGCTGTTTTTACCTGTCTGAATAAGTCTGCTTTGAACAAATTGCAAATTGTTCAAAATTCTGCTGCTAGACTCTTAACAGGTGCCCCTCGAAGTTCTCATATTACACCAGTCTTATTGGACCTCCATTGGCTCCCTGTAAAATTCAGGATTGATTTTAAGATTTTAGTGCTGACTTTCAGAGCCTTAAATGGTCAGGCCCCACATTACATCCTGGACCTTTTGAAGCCGTATTCCCCTGACTGCACTCTTCGGTCCTCTGGCCAGAACCTACTTGCAGTCCCTAAGACCCGAGGGGACATGTCATTTCAGTCTGTTGCTTCCAGACTGTGGAACGCTCTGCACCTGTCCATGCGTCTGGCAGACACTGTTGTCTCTTTTAAAAAGGATCTGAAAACATGTCTATTTAACAAGGCTTTTGGTTGATGGGTTTTCACTAGTGTCATTTTAATTTCATATATTTATATACATTTCATACTGTTTGTTTTTATTTACTCTTTTGTACAGCACTTTGTGATTTTATCTGAGAAAAGCGCTTTATAAATAAATTTATTTACTTACTTACTTAATTACTTTAAACAAAAAGATAAATTCACCAAAGTTTTGCGAGACCATATGAATATAATTAACGTTATTGTTACACAAAAGAAACTTTGGAAGTCGCGGAGGTTCTCTGGGCCTTTTTGGGAGCAGGATGTGGATGTTGCGAGGGAGCAGAGAAGAGAATGGCTGGAAGCGAGAAGAGACGAGAGAGATCCCATGGCTCGGCTATGTTTTTGTTTGTTACTTTCCTGGGCTTGTCCCACAGTGGGAGTCACCATTTTGTTCCTCAAGGTTTTAACTTTAATCTAAAGTAATGTCTTAAAGTCTATTTGCGCGTGTTTTAATCACATATCTTTCCACAATATCGACACTTTTCTTTAAATGTCATAAACAGTTTTACAGGTAAACTATTGAAGAGGCGAGAGCCACTACCTAACTTAACAAAGATTATTTAACTAAAACAAAGTAAAGAAGACAGCTTTATAGTAAGGGGGAACCTTCTTTGTTCATAAAATTAATTTGAGGCTGTGTCCTTTTCTGTCCTTTTCATTTGGTGTCATCTTTCAGTACATGGAGCTTTTACATCCTTATTGTCTCTGACACAGTTCTGTTCTCTGAGGTCTGATAACAAGCCATTACGCAGGAAAGTGAATGTAACTTGTCTGTTTCTGTAGCCTGCAGCCATGCTGACCTGTGAAATCTGTGGTGAGGAGATAATGTTGGAAGAGGACATGAAGACGCATCTCCTTCTCAGCCACCTGGAAAATAACATGCAATGCCCACTCTGTTCCCTGTCTGGAGTGTCCTACGATGAGCTCTGCTTCCACATCAGTTCTGCACATCCAGAGAAGCAGCACAGAGCACAAGATCCAGCTCACTTGACATCCACTTCAGACTGCTCTGCTGGAACACACGCTGGTGTAAGTGAAAGCGAGACGCCACAAACAGCCTCAAAGTCATCATCTCTATCCCGCTCGGCTGGGGACAGCTGTGATACAGCTAGTGAAGCAGCTGGTGCCTCTAGTGTCACCACAGACTCAGTGCAACCAAAACAGGATAGTACACCAGAAAGTGGAGGTCTAACCCTAACATCTGGGAAGACTGCATCCATCACTTCGACTCTGACAACACGGAGCCCTAAAACAATACAGGGGTCTTTCAGGCATTGTAATGAGGACGATAATGGAATTAAATCTGACCACAGCAAAGCCAAACAGAAGCGTCTGTCTTCACCAAGAAAAGGTGATTTAGCGTTTTCAAACTGTATTATTATTATTAAATTCACCATTGACTTGAATTGTCCTGTTTTAATTACAGAGAAGCTGTTTCCCTGCCCCATGTGTGAACTGGTCTACAGCAACTGTTCCATCCTGCAGGAGCATGTTGAGTTGCATCTGCAGGAACAGCACTCGGGTAACTTTTCTGCCTCTGAGATTTGCATCTTTTGCAGTTGTGTACAGGCCACTGTGTTCAATCACTGGCCACTTCTTGTTATCAGCACAAGGTTAATCTGTAGGATCCAGTCAAATTTCTGATCTGGCACAAACACCTTCTACTAATACTAACCCAACTAACGTTAGAGGAGATCGAAGAGTTAATAGCTTCTTAAAATGAAGACACCACAAGCTACATACTGTATACAAGCTACAAAGTAGATTTATTTATCATTTTAAAAGTTGAAGTTGTAGTTCCTGTATGCTACTCACAAAAGTAAATGTTGTATACAAACATTATATACACTAGATGGATAAATAACAAGTCTCAGAAATAGACTATTTTGCATGGTGCAGTGGACTGGGGATGAATTTAGGAGTCTCAGCCTGAGGGAAAAGCTGCTCTGCAGTCTTGTGGTTCGACGGCAGATGCTTCTCTTTCCAGTTGGCAGCAGGGTGAACAGGCTGTGGCTGGGTGGGTTCAGTCCTTTAGTATCCTTAGCTTTTAATCACCTGCTGCAGAGCCCTCCTGGTCTAAGGATGGGAGAAAAAATTGATTTTTAGATGCATCGTGGACGTGGAAGATTCTGACTCAGTTAACAAATGTCAAAATATCGATTATTTAAATGTTAATTGATACGTAATGCTGACAGAACGCAAAAGGCGGAACTTGCGGAAGTTCAGCACCTGGACCGTCTGTGGCGCGCACATAACCGAGACCAGTGTTCCTTCTGTATTCGGCACACCTCCGCTGCAGATTGAACAACCTCCCTACTTAAATGTCACACAATCACTAATATCAAGGCACAACTAATGATTTTAACTCGCACACTGTGCAAGCATCAATCAAAAAACATCAAGTTGCATCGATAATTGTTTTATAATCGCATCGCAGCCCTCTGAATCGTAATTGAATCGTGAGCTGCCAAGAGATTCCCACCCCTATTCTGGGCCGAGCACATCCCATGCCATTTGGCAGTGTTTCCAGCCAGGATGATTTCTGTTGCTCCTCTGTAAAAGTTCATAAGAACTTGGCACAGGACTTTAGTCTTCTTAAGTTTCCTTAAGAAATACAGCCATTTCTTAGCTTTCTTCACCAGCATGTAACATTTTCAGAACATTTTCATTGACTCACTGATTGAATCATTGATTGATTGACTTGATTATTGACTTAATTAACGGTGTTGAGAGTAGCAAATAATTATTATACGCAATGACCCTGCTCGCATTCCTACGGAAGAGGATTAGGGCCTAGTTCTCTTCCGTACATTCAGATACAGATACAGATCGTAAGCGTTGCATTGTTCATGGTGATGTTTACAGCTGGAGACCATGTAGCTGCTAAGTGCATTCGTTCAGAGAACACTGGACAATTTCATACTCTTTAAATCGCTCACAGTTTTTGAGTTAAGTGAAATTTTATAAACTTTGTGAAACACTGTCTACGACAAATGTGTTATTCAGCAAATTCAGCATTCCTTTCTTTGTATAAATGTGCCTTATGCTCCTCTTTGGTCAGTGACAGGACTGATTTCAGTGTAACATTCTGTTGCTACAGCAGAAACATTCATTAGGGCCTGACCACGAACCGTGCCTGAAGGGATTTTATTGTCTTTTTCTTTTTTTTGCAAAGTAACCTCAGTTTTGGGGGCCTAAACATACTCGAAAACTCACCAAACTTTGCACATAATTCAGGCGCAGTGAAAAATTTCGTATTTTATAGGTTTTGCACATGGGCGTGGCAAAATGACTCGCTAGCGCCACCTACAGTGCAGCCCCTGGACTAAGTTTCACCTATGTGGACGAAATTTCTGGTACGTGTATCATATGTTCAGACGTACAAAAAAGCCTCTTGGATAAATGCCCGACACCTAACAGGAAGTCAGCTATTTTGGATTTAATGGTCATTTTTGGCGATTTACACACTTTGTACTTTCACGAACTCCTCCTACAGAATTAGTTCGATTTAGTTCAAAATTCTGACATTTTGAAATGTGTATTTCTCAACTCGAACAAAGTTAAACGAGAAACAATATTTATTATTATCTTTGGTAAAACAGATGTAAAACAGAACGAGGCATATTGCTCTCAGGAGGAGGCCGCTAGAAGGAGCATATATTGGCACACTGGCATAACATCAAATAAAGAGTATAATGTTCAGTCAATAGTATACTGTTAGAATAACGTTAATATATTATTGACTATATTGTTTATAATTTCATATAATAGTATACTATTACGACTTGTTGAATATTAAAACCAGTTGTAGCGGTTTCTGTGAGTTTTTTTTTTTTTATTAATTAAATCCTTGTGCAAGAAACAGCTCTACATTGGTTTCTAATTTTTTAAGAACTAACTTGTCAATAATTATATTGTTCAACATTGTAAAGTTGAAAAATATGATTACGTCAAACTTTATCTGATGTCCCTCCCGCCCCATCCAGGCTGTGATAGGTCAGTTGACGAAAAGTGAAGTCGGCTTTATGGAAAGTTGAACATGTTGAACCACAAAAGGCACTGATTCACTGATAAGGTTAAATGGCTAGTTAGCCAAATCCAAACCTTCCTTATGTTCTCCCAGTTTTCTTCTGTCTTACCGCTACAGCTGCCGACAACACGTCTCTGTCACAGAGCGACTGGCCCACTGCCATTTCTCTCTGCGCTCCGGTGGCCAGTCCAATGTTTTGATCGATTCTGGTTAGCACACATCTGTTTTTAGGGGCATGTGCAAGAGCCTGGTGTGGGCGGGGATAGTGAGCAGACTGCAGTGCACACAGAGCGTCACACACACAGCATTTCTGTAATCGCAGAGGATGACATCGCGATGGACATTAGATTAATTGTGCAGCCTTAGGACTGTACATAAAACAGGTGTTTTAGTAACTCTTTCATTCAGGCTTCCGGGACGCTTCACAATGGCTCAGTAACTGTACACAGTCACACCTCATATGAAATAAGTTTGCAGTAACTGGTTTTACATGGAGTTTCCAATCTGTTTTGCAGGAGAGAAGAGATTTGAGTGCCCTATGTGCTCTGTGGTCTGCAATGACAGCTTTTCTCTGCAGGAACATGTGGAATTGCATTTAGATCGCAGAGCAGCTGTGAACTCTGCAGGTGGGCATACATTCTAACCTCCCTGCTACATAACTCACTCAGTTCCCTCTACTGCATTTTAAAAGGTGTTTTTTCCCCTTCTGTCTTATGTATGTGTTTGATTTGGTGCACACTCAACCTATATCTTTCTAAGCCTTTGCTTTACGTGTGTTGCTGCAGGGAGCTCGTGCTCAGACCTGGAGCTAGCCAGACAGCTTCAGCAGGAGGAGGAGCAGAGGGGTAGGCAGGAAGGGGCCCGGCAGGAGAGAGAGGAATTCAAGAAGCTGCAGGTCTGGTTTCTACACTGCAGAACACCTACTGTGCAGATCATACGTGTTTAGATAGTGATACATTTATGTTGGATTTCAAATGAATTGATTGACTGTTCCTTACTATGGGTGAACAGTGTAACATTGTAGCGTTATCCCTGTTTAAACATTTGAGGTACTGTGTATATGGTCTACAATCCTTCATTTACTGTTTACAGTGTGCTGTGAATACCCTTAAAGCTGAAAATGTATCCTCATAGTCAGTGTTTTTTTCAGTGTGCTGGAGTAAAGATTCACAGTTTTGTTTTATTTGAAATGAAATCAATTATTTCTATTGTGGACGTTGGAGTAGTTAGACGTCGTAGAGGTGTGTGTGCATGTGCGCATACTTGCATGTGAAAGTGGAGTACAGCATTAGCGGCTTATAAAGCACATATATTCACACTATGCCTTAAAATGCAGTAGCACACGTTTGAGTATTGCTGGAGATTAAAAGGTCAGGACTGGGCTCGGTGAAAAGACTGAACTTCTTTACCAACACTTAACCATCAGTAAAAATAGACAGCTATTGGAGTCCCAGAGATTCACTAAAACTGAGACCTTCCAGAGTGTGTTTTTAAAAAACGTACACACACTGAGGCTGGTTACATTTGTTTAAGCATGCAACTTAACACCAGATGGGAACACAGAGTATACATACAAAAGTGAGTACACCCCTCACAGTTTTGTAAATGTTTGAAATTATCTTTTCATGTGACAACACTGAAGAAATGACACTTTGCTACAATATAAAGTAGTGAGTGTACAGCTTGTATAACACATCACACAGCTGTTAATGTATAAACTGCTGGCAACAACAGTGAGGACACCCCTAAGTGAAAATGTCCAAATCGGGCCAAAGTGTCTATATTTTGTGTGGCCACCATTATTTGCTCACTGGAGTCCTCTTCCACTCCTCCATGACGACATCACGGAGCTGGTGGATGTTAGAGACTTTGCGCTCCTCCACCTTCCGTTTGAGGACGCCCCACAGATGCTCAGTAGGGTTCAGGTCTGGAAACATGCTCGACCTCACCCTCGACCTTTACCCTCAGCTTCTTTAGCGAGGCAGGGGTCGTCTTGGAGGTGGGTTTGGGTTCGTTATCATGTTGGAATACTGCCTTGCGGCCCAGTCTCCGCAGGGAGGGGATCATGCTCTGCTTCAGTATGTCACAGTACATGTTGGCAGTCATGGTTCCCTTGATGACCTGTAGCTCCCCAGTGCCGGCAGCACCGTGCAGCCCCAGACCAGGACACTCCAACCACCATGCTTGACTCTAGGCAAGACACACTTGTCTTTGTGCTCCTCACCTGGTTGCCGCCACACACGCTTGACACCATCTGAACCAAATAAGTTTATCTTGGTCTCAGCAGACCACAGGACATGGTTCCAGTAATCCATGTCCTTAGTCTGCTTGTCTTCAGAAAACTGTTTGCGGGCTTTATTGTGCATGAACTTTAGAAATGGCTTCCTTCTGGGACGACAGCCATGCAGACCAGTTTGATGTAGTGTGCGGCGTATGGTCTGAGCCCTGACAGGCTGACCCCCCACCCCTTCAACCTCTGCAGCAATGCTGGCAGCACTCATGCAAATGTAAATGCTCCGTATTTGTATAGCGCCTTTCTAGTCTTTTCGACCACTCAAAGCGCTTTTACACTACATCTGCATTCACCAGTCATACACATTCATACACTGAGCCTAAGTGCTCAAACATAGACTAACATTCACACACTGGTGGAACAGCCACCAGGGGCAATTTGGGTTCAGTATCTTTCCCAAGGACACTTCAACATAGGGCTGGGCAATAAAACAATAATGATAATTATCACAATATAATTTTCCTCAGTAACAATATAATGTTCAAATGTATCGTCAATAAATATTTGGTTTAATTCATTTGAATCACGGACAAATTAGCATTTAATTTTTCTATTAAAAAATATTTATTTTGTTGAGAAAAAGAGGCCTGAAAAAAGATTAACTAATCATATTTGTTGAAAAAGATTTTATCATAATAGTTTTGAATGTTCCACCTCAGATTTGTGAAGTGATTCACTGTTTGGCATCAAGTGTTTGTCACATTCTGACCATAAAGAAAAATTTAACCACATAGTTAACCATCTGGTTTCTTCAATTTTCACTCTGGAGCAAAATCTGCCTTTAAACTTGAAAGAAATAAAGAATTTGACATTTATCGTGATAATTATCGATATCGAATGATATGAAATGTTTTTATTGTGATAACATTTTTGGCCATATCGCCAAGCCCTACTTCAACATGCAGCCTGAAGGAGCTGGGGATTTAACCGCCGACCTTCCTATTAACGGGCAACCTGCTCTGCCCCCTGAGTGCCCCATTCTCACCTGAGACCTTGTAACACTAATGAGACACATGACACCTGGAAGGGAAAATGGCTAATTGGGCCCAATTTGGACATTTTCACCTGGGGGGTGACCTCACTGTTGTTGCCAGCGGTTTAGACATTAATGGCTATTCACTTTTGTGAGATACTGTATATTGAGTACATACAAACATTTGTAAGTGTTTTTAACACAGACTACACACAGAGTATATCTAATGAATACTCACTACACCAGTATCTTGCGATTTCACAAGACTCTAGTCTATCAACATGACCTGTGTGGAATGTTGTCTGTGCAGAGGCATTTTGGACTAGATGGCAGAGGAGGCTACTGCAGACAGGTGGAAAGGACCATGGAGAGAGAAGTGGCCAGGGGTCTTATGTCCCCCACAGAGTTTCACTGTAAAAGGGCTGAAATGATGGAGTCTCTGGCCTTAGGGGTTGATGATGGCAGAACCAGAACTCAAGGTATGTTTTAGCAGGTCCTGCAGCCACAATTCTACGCAAGCAAATTTTAATTACAATTTCAATTTTGTCTTCCAAAAATTCTAAAAAAATAAGTTAATGAGATAAAACAAATATTGTGCTGCATGCTGTTTCACAATGACACTCGTTTTGTCATGTGTTATAAATCCAGCGCACCCTTTTCTGCAAAGCGCCCCCCGTCCCTCCCTAAAGGCCCAAATGAGCACTGTTGAACTGCTGCTGGAATGCACTTGTTGAATGTAACTTATTTCACATGCACTCCTTTCACTTCTCTGTCTAGGTGTGGTCAGAGCCTTATATGAATACTACCAGACTGAATGCAAAGACTGTGTCCATGTGTGGCTGAGTGCTGACACCGACCACTTCTGCTCCTCAGCAGGGGACAAAGGCTGGGGCTGTGGATACAGAAACTTCCAGATGCTCCTCTCCTCTCTACACAGAATAGACACATATGCTCTCATCCTACAAGGTGCACAATAACACAGAGATCATAAAACAGGGAGGCTTTATGTATAGAAATATACTTAAATATAGTAGAAATGAACGGCTCTCTGTAACATAAGCTTCACAGTAAACTAGCCATTTGCTAGTTCTCTGTGCAGTTGAGGTAAATATATGAGATATCTGATCTTTATTGAAGTTTTGCCACAATATTTTTATAGTTGCAAGGAACAGTATAGTTGGGAAGCAGGAGGAGCTGCTTTTTCCATCAATTTGCCGAATGGCTCTAAATATCATGTTACCCATGAGCCTTTCTCACTGTTGCTATGGAGAAGAAAGCAGTCAGAGGTGTAAATCAGAGCTGTAGCAAATTCAAAACACTTTGTTGTTGCAGTTGGGAACCAAACACTTTGTCGTATTGCAGAATTCATAAAAAAAAAAAAAAAAATCAGAATCCAAAAGTGTATAATTTCAGATTGTATCAGTTTTGAAAGTAGAATGTTTTACTTTTATTTTTAAGTTCATAAAAAGCAGAGCAGTATCAATTTTCTGTTACATTGTATGTGATTCACTGCTGAATTATTTTATAAAAAAAGGATGATGATGATTTAAACACTCTTTTTATTTTACCCTTGGTAAGTGGCCATGGTCGAGGAAAAAAACACAGCTCACAGCCTTAACTGAGGTTCTGGAGCTATAGACTATCAGACTTGAGTGACACGCGTCGGGCCTGCCATCAGGAGATGCAGCTATGAATTATCACATGTTTTGGACTCCGAGTTAAACATCACTTCCTGTGTCTCCTATGTGACATTAGATCAAGTGATGATTGTAATACAGAGCTTACTTCCTGTTGCCAGTAGGTGGCACTATGACTTTGAGTGAATTTTGGTATGTAGGTGTGTTCAGGGTGGGACTGTTATCAATCATGTAAAACTTGGTACAGATGTGAGGATTGTACACTGAAGGCACAATGTCTGTTTAAGTGCAGAGCCTGTAAAACGGCAAAAATTACCGTTACATCAAAAATGATTTATGTGCGAAGTTTTGTGAGTTCTTTAGGAAGAATTAAAAAAAAAAAAGATTTCCTTCAGTTCCAGTAGGGTCCTCGCAAGTTTCGGATTGGGCCCTCAAAATTATCTGCACACTCAAACCTGTACAAAAATCTTACAAAAATCAGGTATCAAGTGAATACAGCATAAGAACGAAACGAACATCATTGGATTAGCCTTGATGCAGAACACTTGTCTATCAGTTGTGTGGTTAAAGCTCTGGTTATGATGGACTACAAGTTAAAGACACAATGTCTATAGAGACAGTCGAAACACTAAGCACATCAAATATGCAAAATTCACAATATACACAACAAGAGAATATGCAAATATAGAGGTAAATACTGTTTAAGCACAGGCTCCAGCCAGCATAAACATAGAGCGTATAGAATCTAATACTCACTGAGCAGCTCTCATATACAGAATAATGAACTCTGCTATATGAAGCTATGATGACAGTGTATCAGTTCTTCGGTAGTTTTCCTCCTGTAGGATTGTTGAGAGTTGTAGAGTGGATTTCTGTCCTAAAACAGACAGATCACATGATACACTGAGAAGAAATTCAATTCAATTTTATTTATATAGCGCCAAATCACAACAACAGTTATCTCACAGCGCTTTTCATAAAAGAGCAGGTCTAGACCGTACTCTATGATGCTATTTACAGAAGCCCAACAGTTCCCACCAAGAGCAGCACTAGGCGACAGAGGCAAGGAAAAACTTCCTTTAAGAGGCAGAAACCTCGAGCAGAACCATGGCTCAGGGTGGGCGGCCATCTGCCTCGACCGGTTGGGGTGAAGGAGAGAGAGGGAGAGAGAGAGAGCGAGACAGAGAAAGAGAGGAACAGAGAGAAAGAGAGAGGGATGGAAGGAGAGAGAGGGGAGGGAGGCAGCCTACACAATATACACACACACAGGTACAGACAGTAAAGGTAATGTTGCTATAGACTAAATGAAAAATGGTACAGATATTTATAGTAGTGTTAATGATAACAGTCGTAATGTTAATGATTATAATAACAATAATAATAATATAAATAAATATAAAATAATAAGAAGGTGAGCCAAGACGACAGATGACAAATGTCATCTAACAACTGTCATAAAGTTTTGTGTTTTTGTTTCCTCCAGGTCTACACCTGTACACATTTCAGTTCCTTCCATTTACTTAATGCTTTCCTTCTCCAGACAAAGCAGTGCCTAGTATCCCTCAGGTGCAGATTATGATTGAGGCAGCTTGGAAAGAAGGACTGGATCCACAAGGTGCCTCCCACTTCAATCAGCGGCTGCAGGGAACGCGAGCCTGGATTGGAGCCACAGAGATCTTCACCCTCCTCATCTCTATGGGAATCAGGCGAGCTCTAAACTCTTAGTGTGCTAAAGCACATAACCTTAGGCTGCAGAATGCTACATTTACAACTGTTGAATTGTTCACAGCAAAACATCAGAAATCAATGCCATGCCAATATATCATCATGAAGGTCTTCAGCTTTTTCTGAGACAGTTTTGAGATGAATCAGATCAATATCAGTACATCAATGTCTAAAACATGTCATTTCCTGTTGCCAGAAGGTGGCCCAATGACTAAATATTTGCCTGTAAACGTCTTTAGGATGAGACTTTTATCAAACGTGAAATATGGGACAGATTTGACCATGTCCAGTCCATTTAGATTATACTTCTGTTTTCATGGTGAAACATAAAAATTCAACGCCACGCCTTGGACACACCGATTGATTAATCAAAAAAAGCTTTGTAATTTAACGTCACAAGGCTTTGTAGATGGCACTGCCCACATTTGGAGTCAATCAGAACTAAACTCTAGGAGGAGTTTGTTAAAGTATGAAGCTTGTAAAAAATCAAAAATTTAATTCAATCCAAAATGGCTGATTTCCTGTGGGTTTGGGGTATGGGTTGTGCTACTCACAGTGGTCGCTGTTCGGGCCCTAATAATTGTTAGTCGTTAGTTATTTAATAATTGTATGTCATTTTGTTCACACTGTAAAAACTAAATTGTCACACAAATGATCTGTGGCCATTTAGCGGGTAAGCCAGGTGGATTTTTACATAAAACAATCTTTCCTTAGCCATTTGGGAGTAAGCAAACTTGAAAAGGAGGCAGTATCACTTTAGATTAACAAGATTATATACCATAAACAGATATTTCTACTACAATGTGCCTGCTAAGCAAGTTTGGGCTTGGCCAGTACCTGGATGGGAGACCTCCTGTGAACACTAAGTTGCTGCTGGAAGAGGTGTTGGTGGGCCAGTAGGAGGCGGTCTTCCCTCCGGTCATAACAATAAGATCCCAACACCCCAGTGCAGTGATGGGGACACTGTGCTGTAGGAGATGCCGTCCTTCGGATGAAACGTTAAACGGAGGTCCTGACTCACTGTGGTCATCAAAGATCATGGCAAAATTCTCAACCTGGCTTTCACCATCTGGCCATCTAATCATCATCATCTAACGGAATTTTCAAGCAGTTACAAACTGTCCGTAAAAAAAAAAATCCAGAGCTTTTTGTGTCTAATTTTCTTAGTTTTGACCTTAGTTTTAGTTTTTTGTTGTGACTTGTGTTGAGTCTTGTGCTGTATGTATTTCCAGTGCCCGCATCATCGACTTCCACCAGCCGACGGGCCCAGGTGGCACCCACCCGTGCCTGTTTGACTGGGTGAAGCAGTACTTCTGTCAGTCCAGCAGGAGCAGCAGACTGCCCCCCAGACTCATCCACACCTCCCTGCCCCCTCTTTACCTGCAGCACCAAGGTACACAGTAACAGCACCTGCCATATTGCTTCATCACACAGTAGCTGAACAGGATGGATTCATGTACGTGTTTCTGAATGGTTGACACATCTTGAAAGGACCGTTGTTTTACAACCATGGTCCAGTGTGTTAGTGCCCCTGGTGGGACACTAAATAATACAGTCTGTATTTTGGAAGTTCGTGGCTGAGGTCTGCTCTGTTAAAGTCCCCGAGAACAATGATCAGGGAGTCTGGATGTTTTTACTCCATGTTACTGTTCTGGTTGGCCAGGTGCAGTAACGCCTCACTAACACAGGCCTGAGATGGGAAATAAAGGAGAAAAACTCAGAGTGAATAAAGTGGTTTACGGTTAATGAATAAAGTGAGAACTACATGATTTGATCCCAGAGAGCTCCATTACACAGTCCACTTGGACGAGATTAAATCCTTGCAGATAAAGTGAGCTGTCCAGGATGTCCTCGCTGGCCCAGGTTTCAGTGAAGCACAAGACGGCAGATCTGTAAAAGTCTGTATTTGTTCTGTTGAGGAGCAGCAGTTCATCCATCTTGTTGGCCAGAGAGAGACATTTCAGAGTGTGTTGACGGGAGCGCAGTAAGAAAACCCCGCAGTCTCAGTTTTATGAGCATGCAGGCTCGCTTCCCTCAATGTCTCCGGCAAATGGAGAGCTGCTGCTGTTCCGGCTAACAACTCCTCAGGTTTACTGAAAATCGATGTTATAATTTAAGCTGTGGGGAGTCAAATATATATATTTTTTTTATTATTTTAAACCTGTCCTGCCCAGCAGCCTGGTATAGAGTATGATGACCTGGATACCATATTGTGCCAGACAGATTTTACTTTAACAAGAGAGTATTAAAATACTCCTTTGTCTGTTTTATTATTTATTTAATTATGTATTGATTTGTCACCGGGCCGGACAGGGGGGCAGACACGGGGATGGGGGGGCACAAACAGACAGCACAGAGAAAGGACAAGACCTGTAAGAGAAGGGGGAAAGGGGGATAGAAGGTGGGGACAACAGGGAAAAGCTGTGGGAAACACCAATTGCAGAAAGCAACGAAACCTGCAATAGAACAGAGAGGGGGGAGAAGGAGAAAAACACAACAAACACACACAAACAAAAACAAACAATAAAATATAACAATAATAATAGTAAAAGACAACCAGCCGAACAGCAGCAATAAACAGCTGACATAGTAAGACAACTAAGAGAAAAAAAAAAAAGAAACAGTCACGCACAAGAGAGTCCAATATTTAAGAGTTCTTCTCTGGTATATGTGACTGAGAGACATGGCAGAAAACAGAACAAAAACACAAAAAGTACTAGGGAACAGAGTACAGAGGCGGTTATCTGCCTATTGTTATGCACCAACATACCAAAGCAAATTCCTTGTATGTGTTGTAAAACTTGGCAATAAAGCTTATTTTAATTCTGATTGTGACATCTGTGTGTAGTGGAAACATTTTCTCTTCTCCGAGACGAGTTGAGGAACAAATTATTTAATCAGGCTGTTAGTTTCATGCTGATAATCAACTTTATGAGGTTAGGATGAGGGTTACTAGAGTGAAAATAATACAGTGACTCATGTCTCAAAAGTAGTATTGGTATTTGCTGTTACACCATGTGTAAAATGTACTGAATAAATATCTACAAACGTAAATATATATCAGTGCTAAAATCTTTAAATTAATGGTCTGTATTTGTACAGTGCCTTTCTAGTATTTCTGACCACTCAAAGCACTTTACACTACATCACATTCACCCGCTGATGAGCAGAGGCTAAGGAAATTAACTTATTCACACACCGATGGATATGCCACCGGGAGCTATTTGGGGTTTAGTGTCTTGCCCAAAGACACCTCTACTTGCAGACCAGGGGATCGAACCACCGACCTTCTGGCTAGTGGACGGCCGCCAAAATGTTGAGTGGTTTATTAAATGCACCACAAAAAAGCTGAAACTGAAGATAAATGATAGGTAGGTAGGTGGATTTATTTTGTCACAACATAATAAACGTAATAACCCAGGCGTCATGTTATCCCCTCCTTTCAACTATATCACCCTGTCTCTGTGACGGCCAGTGTTTCAACCCACCTTCGGGTGTGACCTTCTAAACACTATGGCCTTCTTTTTGAGCAGTATTGTCCACCTGGTCCCCCTCTCTTCACCCTGTGTCCTCCGGCAGGTCACAGCCGCTCTATAGTGGGCTTGGAGCAAAAGAAGAACGGGAGTCTGTGCCTCCTGCTTCTGGATCCTGGCTCCTCAGTTTTCGACACCAGGATGCTGTCGAGCAAGGGCACCGTTTCCACAGCCATCCGCCACATCAGAAAGTTCCCTGGTAGCCTGAAGCACAAACAGTACCAGCTTGTGGCAGTGCAAGGCGTGTTGTCTGCTGAGGAGAAACAGGTGAGCCATGGGACAGAAGTTTGTGTACGTGGCTGACTGGCTGAAAGCCGGGCTGAGGTTTAGAATGAAATGTGATTTTACTTTTGTTGACTGAACAAGATTCAGTTCAGGCCTGTGAGGTACTCCAGCTTAAGATCATTTTGACTCCTGCAGTGTTCTTCCTTCAATGTGACGTCATCATGAGTCATTAACCAAACTAAGACCTGTTAAATAAATTGCTCTATATCTGTATCTGAGCATTCTTTATTTGTTTTACAGATTAGCATCTTGAACTCCAGGACATTAAGCGCTGAAAGGATCCCATGAACAGACTTCATCGCTTCTTGTTTTTTTATTGTGAACACATGTCTGATTTCAGACTTCAGGAACTATTTAATATTGTCATTTGCTAATAAATTGTATATATTTTTTTAAATACACTGTTTTCCATGCTGTTATTTACTTATGTGTGAGAGAGGAAATGAAGCAGAATGAACCTGACTGTCCTCACGGAACCCAGCCCAACAAGAAACATGCAAAACCCATATCAAGGTTAATTTATCCCTCATTTTACACACTCTGCTGCACAATGAAATGTTAGTTGTAGCCTCTTCATGCTTCACACACACAGAATAAATATATATACACACATATACATACAGGTGCTGGTCATATAATTAGAATATCATCAAAAAGTTGATTTATTTCAGTAATTCCATTCAAAAAGTGAAACTTGGATATTATATTCATTTATTACACACAGACTGATATCATTCAAATATTTATTTCATTTAATTGTGATGATTAAAACTGACAACTAATGAAAATCCCAAATTCAGTATCTCCGAAAATTAGAATATTACTTAAGACCAATACATAAAAAGGATTTTTATAAATGTTGCCAACTGAAAAGTATGAACGTGAAAAGTATGAGCATGTACAGCACTCAATACTTAGTTGGGGCCCCTTTTGCCTGAATTACTGCAGCAATGCAGCGTGGCATGGAGTCAATCAGTCTGTGGCACTGCTCAGGTGTTATGAGAGCCCAGGTTGCTCTGATAGTGGCCTTCAGCTTTTTTGCATTGTTGGGTCTGGCGTATCACATCTTCCTCTTCACAATACCCCATAGATTTTCTATAGGGTTAAGGTCAGGCCAGTTTGCTGGCCAATTAAGAACAGGGATACCATGGTCCTTAAACCAGGTGCTGGTAGCTTTGGCACTGCAGGTGCCAAGTCCTGTTGGAAAATGAAATCTGCATCTCCAGAAAGTTGGTCAGCAGCAGGAAGCGTGAAGTGCTCTAAAACTTCCTGGTAGACGGCTGCGTTGACCTTGGACCTCAGAAAACACAGTGGAACAACACCAGCAGATGACATGGCACCCCAAACCATCACTGACTGTGGAAACTTTACACTGGACTTCAAGCAACGTGGATCCTGTGCCTCTCCTCTCTTCCTCCAGACTCTGGGACCTTGATTTCCAAAGGAAATGCAAAATTTACTATCAGAGAACATAACTTTGGACCACTCAGCAGCAGTCCAGTCCTTTTTGTCTTTAGCCCAGGCGAGACGCTTCTGACACAGTGTCTTGTTCAAGAGTGCCTCGACACAAGGAATGCGACAGCTGAAACCCATGTCTTGCATACGTCTGTGCGAGGTGGTTTCTGAACTGACTCCAGCTGCAGTCCACTCTTTGTGAATCTCCCCCAAATTTTTGAATGGGTTTTGTTTCACAATCCTCTCCAGGGTGCGGTTATTCCTATTGCTTGGACACTATTTTCTACCACATCTTTTCCTTCACTTCGCCTCTTGGACACAGAGCTCTGTGAACAGCCAGCCTCTTTAGCAATGACCTTTTGTGTCTTACCCTCCTTGTGCAAGGTGTCAATGGTCGTCTTTTGGACAGCTGTCAAGTCAGCAGTCTTCCCAATGATTGTGTAGCCTACAGAACTAGACTGAGAGACCATTTAAAGGCCTTTGCAGGTGTTTTGAGTTAATTAGCTGATTAGAGTGTGGCACCAGGTGTCTTCAATATTGAACCTTTTCACAATATTCTAATTTTCTGAGATTCTGATTTTGGGGTTTTCATTAGTTGTCAGGTATAATCATCAAAATTAAAAGGAATGAACACTTGAAATATATCAGTCTGTGTGGAATGAATGTATACATTATACAAGTTTCACTTTTTGAATGGAATTACTGAAATAAATCAACTTTTTGATGATATTCTAATTATATGACCAGCACTTGTATATATGAAATTATGTGGTATGTGATAGGAGGAGAGAGGAGAGGGACGAGAAAGCACAAGACTACTGGAAAGGGGAGACGTTGAGTTAGTAACATGCATCAGTGGGATGAGGTTGCATACAGAGGGAGAGAAAGAAGAGGAGAGAGGAGCTCAGTGCATCATGGGAAATCCCCCGGCGGTTCAGGACTCACCTGAGCCAGCCCTAACTATAAGCTTTATGAAAGAGGAAAGTCTTAAGCCTACTCTTAAATGTGGAGATGGTGTCTGCCTCCTGAACCCAAACTGGAACACTGGAATGTTCTCCCTACTATGGCAGCTCAACTGGAGCAGGTACAGTAAGTGCTGCTTATGCAACATCAGAACCTTGGAAATAAAGTTGGTTGATATGAATGATTTCCTGTTGGCTGGAGAGAAGGGATCATGTCAAACGCTGGACGTTGTTTCTTGAGCGTTGGACAGAAGAGATCAGAGCAAGTATGCAACATGTGGGTTAAGAAAATGCAGCTGTCCTTTTATTTTGCTTTGTCATGGATTTAAATTATGCCAAGACTCATAACAATGAACTGGTGCCACTCAAAGGCTTCAAACTGATCCACGGGACTCATGACCAAGATGATGTGGACCAGATTTACAACCTGGAGATTAGAGACTCTAATGTGTTTGTCATCACATATCCAAAATCAGGAGAGAGGAAGGTAAAGACAAAAGTCTTGTGAATAAGGCTGATCGATATGGCCAATATTTCTAACACAATAAAAAATGTAATATCATTCCTTATTGATAATTATCACTAAAAATGTAAAATCATTATTTCTCTCAAGTTTAAATGCAGATTTTTGCTCCTGTGTGAAAGTTGAAGAAACCAGGTTTTAATCAGAGCCTGTCAAACATTGGATCACTTCACAAATCTGAGGTAGAACATTCAGAACAATTTTGATAAAATCTTTTTTCCACAAATATACACGAGTAAAATTAAGAAGTCTTTTTTTCCTCAACAAAATAAATATCTTAATAGAAAAATTAAGTGCTAATTCATTTGATTCAAGTTAATTAAATCAAACATTTAATGAACACTTGCTGTATTGTTATTGAGGAACATGAGATCATACTAATTATCCTTTATGTTTTATTGCCCAGCCCTAGTTGTACACACAGTGGAAGCACAAGGCGCCAGGACAGGCTCCCTCATCACTTACACTGTTCTCAAGGTCAGCAGTGCTTTTGTTTGTTGCAAGTTGATTTCAGCAGTTTAGGGTATCAAATGATGTGTATTGTGAAAACTCTCCGAACAAAGGTCCACAGAGAGAAGAGGAGAGGTGTACTCATACACAAGGTTGATCTAATTGCTGCCATTGTACACAAAGCCTGGGAGGTGGAAATATGCCTGCTCTGTTTGACAGGGCCATCTGGATGCAGCAGATCCTGCTGCTCCTTGAATCACAGGGAGCTGTGACAGCCATCAATCAACCACTCCAATGCTGATCACATCCCCTGGATTGAGGTGAATGGCAACAGACAGCCGTTCATCACAGCCCCATCACCCAGGCTGAGGGTCACACATCTGCAGTACCATTTCATGCCTCCTGCTCTGAGACAGAAGAAGGGCAAGGTCAGCTCTCTGACTGGGTGCTCTTGCGTTGAAAGATCTGTCCAACATCCCCCTCTTTAGCATTTGTAAGCAGCGACAGACATGTTTAAGTGCTTATTAATATCCAGTATTTTTAATTATCCAATGAAGACATTTTATCATTTTGTAACTGTGTTTTACTATATTGTCATTCATTGTCTGTTTGTACAGCAGCTCCCACTCACGGCTGTCCGCCGTTACAGTTAGAAGTGTTGATTCATGTTTTTGTTAATAACTATATCTGCACTTACTACATCACAGTTTACAAAAGCAGCAGCTCCCCCATCATGTTAGGCCACATGACAACATGAACTTAACAAGAAAGAGTCGGCAGTAAAGCCTGCTCCAGCTCCAGAGGACCGGCCACTGTCAGTATCCACAGCAGGTTTCAGGAGAGTCCTGCTGAGAGTGAACAGGAGTACAGCTCATATTTCGCCTGGGTTTTTGTGACCTGCTAAAGCTGTCTGGACTGGGTCTGTGCTAGGACTGGCTGAGGCTGGAGTCTCTTCTTGTAGGCCTACTAGCTGATGATCCAGCATCGACTCTACTGATAAACTTCAGCACAGCCCCTGTAAATTATAGATACTTTCTAAATATTAATGTTATCAGCTCCATCAGGTCCATTCAAACTGGCTCCTCCAGGTTTCCTTTAATACATTTTCAAATATAAAATATTATTTATAAAATGACTGGGCTGAATGTGATTCTTATTTCTTACCGAGATGTGCATCCATATTGCCCAGTCTGCCCAGCTAATCTACATTTTATTATTCATTGTGAATCCACTGCTTCCCATCTTGCATTAGTCCAGAGTTGCAACTAAACTTCACTGTGCCCTCATATCCTGTCTCTGGACTGGTCCCACGTTTCTTGCGTGAGAGTTTTATTTCGTGCACACGCACATGGACGCATTTCCTCACGCACCGCGGTTATCTTTCCGAGCGACAGTTTATAAACACTGTGGCCTGTCTGCGTTTATCAAACGTAATAAATTGTTGTATTTCACTCTAACATTGTTCAGTCAGTCTGACAAGCAACCAAGACTCAGACAGACCGAGAGCTGTGTGGTTAGCAGGACAGACACAGACAGAGATTAACGAACACTGCTGTTATCTGCTGACATCAGACTCTGAGAGGAGAGAACAAGTTTACCTGCTGCTGTTTCCGCAGTTCACTCTCACTGAGTTTTTTCTCTTCTCGTGGCTAGAAGTATAGTCCCTCTTCATCTTCTCATCAAAGTTGTAAACACTCAGTGAGGAGGGGCGTCCACCTCTGTGCAAGAGTGACTTGATTATTGTACTGTCGCCCTGTTTAAAAAATGTAACCAGCAATACACAACTTAGTGAAGGATGCATTGAGACTTGTTTAGGATTACAAACACAAAGTTCAGGCCTTGTTTTTGACATGGGACTTAAACCTGACTGACTTGGGATGGGACATTGGCATTTACAGCCACAATCTGAAACCTACTTATGACTTAAAAAACAATTTACTTTTTCCCACCTTTGCAAATTATTGTTTTTAACTTTATGACTCTTAGGGATTTTAATAACACTGTATAATTTAGGTATACAGAACAAGAATGATGGTTGCTTTGATATATTCACGTACAGTACTTCTCTGTACAAACCCATCTGGAATGTTTGATGTAGCAGTATAATATGGGAATGATTAAGTTTGGTGGAAACCATGTGAAGCGCAGTAAGGGGAAGGCTGGGTATGGGAGGACAATATTGTGTAAGGAGCTACTGAAATAATGTTTAAACTGTCCATCACCGAAATTTGGCACTAGCTGCTTGGTTAGACTCCTAGTGCGTTTACTTATTCTGTGATCACATATTGCCAGATGTAATTTATATTTTTTCAGGAAAAGTTCTTGTTTTGACTATTTCCTTTAATACATTAAATGCTGGTGCATGTGAGAGTTTTCTTTCTTGCCTGTGGCGTTGTTCGTCCTTATGAGTATTGACAGCGCCCTTTAACAACCCCCCACGCTGTTTACACTGTTGTGAGCAGTAAATTGCAATTTTAGACATTTGTAAATCGTCATTTTGCTCTATGACTGACTGGTGTAGTGATGTATAACTATAATTTTTACATCTTATCAAAGGGTGAAACATTGCATTGTGTGATTTTTAGCAAAACAAACCGCACATGCTATGGACAACACACTTTTTGTTCCATCAGGCACCGCTGCTGTGGGCTTGGAAAGCCTACTGACACACTGGAGTTTGTAGAGTAGAGAAATAACTTAATACATTTTAGTTACAACATATTAAATGTTATTAGTTTACTGTGACAACTTCATGGGCCAATTATTTCTCAATATTTTTCAGCTTGGTCTTATCCCCTAAATGGTAAACGGACTGTACTTGTATAGCTCCTTTCTAGTCTTTTCCGACCACTCAAAGTGCTTTATACTACACGCGCTGATGGCACAGCTTTCAGGGTTCTGCATCTCCATAATGGTGATCTTTTACTGCCATCTTCTGGCCAAATAACAGTACTGCCGCTGGGATGCCCTGCATGTCAAACAATACCAGAGCCCATTCACACATTTCTCTAAATTTAATTGTTCTGGTATAGAAACGAACACTCATGGTGTATATGTTGTATTTATGAAGAGTCCCTCTCCAACTGCTGTGAGTCTTTAAAAAAAAAAATGTAGCTGTTGGATCTTCTTAATGTGTCTGGTCAGATGATCATATTCCATGGTCCTCAGCAGTCCTCATCACTGCCCATCTCTAAAGGGTCAAAGTCTTGGTCGTCCTCATCCAAGTCCAGATCCTCAATGTCCTGGAAAAGTGACTCGTCCACTTCAACATTGTTTCCAGCTGCAGGAGAAGAAAGCCACTGTGTCAGAATAAAATGATTCTCTAATAGTTTCCTTCTGAACTAAAGATTTCAGCTTTTCTGTTCTTTATCTGACATATTCTTACAATGCTCAAGTCTCCAAATCTTCTCCCACTGCACTGCAGTCTCTAACATCTTTGTACCATAAAATATTCAATCTAATGTATTTTAACGGATATTTTGACATTTTCTAAAATTTCTTTAAAAGCAATAATGAGCTCACCGGCAAAATAAAAACACTGCTCGGGTCGTTCTCTCTGTGCTGTTAATTATTTCACTGCTGTCGCACGATTACAATGTGCCAGATCTACGACGGCTAGTGGACAATTTTTCTATCAGAGCAATGCAAGATGGTATACACTGTGTGCACAATTATTAGGCAAGTAAGTATTCTGATTGAACGATTATTTCTATGCACAATTTCCAACTCCAAACCATATAAACTTGAATGCTCACTGGAGTTAATCATTTTAATCATCATTAACTGCAAAAGACTTGAGTAGAATTAAACATGAAGCGACCAGGAACCCATTATCCTCCAGTGCCACCATATTCCAGAACTGCAACCTACATGGTTGTCCAGAAGTACAAGGTGCCAAGTGCTCAGAGACACGGCCAAGGAAGACTGAAAAACAACCGCTACTGACTAAGCGTCCTCTCAGTTTTCAAGGCCATGACCTTTATGCAGGACAATGCTCCATCCCATGCCTCCAAGTACTCCACTGCTTTGCTAGCCAGCAAGGACGTCAAAGACGCCCAAATAATGTCCTGGCCCCTGTCCTCACTTGACTTGAAACCTATTTGTGGGCCTTTCTCAAGAGTCAGATTTACAGTCAGGGATGACAATACACCTCTCTGAACAGCATTTGGAAGCTGAGGCTGCTGCTTCAGTGAAAGTTGATCAAGAAACTGACAGACTCCATGGATGGAAGGCTCATGGCAATTACTGAAAAGAAGGGTGGCTGCATTGGTTACTAAATATTTTTGAAAGGCCAAAACTGTGATTTGTCATTTTGTGTTGTTACACTTACTCTAAAGACTGAGAATAAACAGGTCATTTCATGGAAATAATTTTTTTATTTTGCCTAATAATTCTGCACACTCACATATTGTCCTGCGCAAGACAAAATTCACTTTTTATCAGTTAAACATTCCGGATTGAGGTTCAATTATATTCTGGACTGTCTGAGAGCATTATGTTTGTTCAACAATAAAGTGAATCCTGAGGAATACAATTTGACTATTAATTGTGCACGTAGTGGATACAGCTTGGTTGGTAACCATTGGTTGTGTACACCACTTTTCAAAATGCATTCTGGGATACTTTCAGTCCGCTATGGGTCTAATAATTCTCACTATACATTCAGGCAGAACTACAACAAGGCGAACTGAAAGTAGTGAGTGATTTCGGACACAGCGTCACTCACTGAGGCGAGTCGCACACATTTGATTGGTTGAGTAGTGTCACGTGAGACGATTCTGGGCCACTAAAGCATGCTAGTTAAAACAGAAACACTCCGGCATGCTACAATGTGTTCACCATCTGCTCAGCTTTTACATTTCCTTTTAGACAAATATATATATACTGTCTGTACCCCGGTGACATGTCAGGAAGGTATGAAAAAATAGATACCGCCCAAGCCAAATTACAGACATCATCTGGGAGGGATGGAAAACTAAAGCAGGCACATGCTTTGATAAACGCTGAGAAGTGCTTCAGATCTGTGCTGCCACCCCAGTAACCTCAGAAATGTTAAGTGTTAATTTCCCGTTATTATTGTCATTATATTGGTTTCTACATTTGTTATGTTTCACGCTTTGCACCAAAAAGAAGCCTTAACAACATTAACAGCATCAATTTCAAACATTCACTCAGAAACACTCGTTACCGTCTTCAAGGAACTGAATGTCAGATGTGTCCAGGTTGTGGTCTCTCTCAAACAGCTGTTTACCTGGTGAGGGAAAGATTACATTTTGATATTAGGGCTGGACCATTAATTGAAAAGTAATTGAAACCAAAACTCAGAGACTCTAACCAACATAATTTTCCCATGAAGTCATTTTGTTTTTGTTTTTTTTAAATCCTGTTATTATTTCCCCCACTGTGTGTGTTCATGTACTTTCTCCTTAAAACATACTACCACATGTGGTCATGTGACACCTTTCTGTCCAGTCCTGCTCAGCTTAGCGTTAACCTCTTCATTTTCCAGCAGTTGGGCGGACAGACTTTTATTAATGGACACTAGGGCTGAAACCATTCATTGATTAAATCGATCACTAAAAAGCTTTGTTTAATCCACATAACTGTAAAGCACACTGTTTCGCACGTCAGTATGATGCCGCTGTTTGCAAAGTGGAGTAAGAGAGAGAAAATAGTGAGGGACGAAGAAGAAAGTGTCCAAAGTATGCGATTATTTCAAGCTAAAAGAAACAACTCTGTAATGTTACCATCTGTCCACTCTAAAACCAAACGTATGTTGCCTAACGCAACAGCACGGCGGTACCTGATCAGAAAGCAACAGCAACTTCAGCATTTAACAGAAATCATGACTGACTGTTATGCTGAAGGCTAGCCAAAGTAAGCCGCAGTCCTCAGCTGAAAATGAGCACACGTTCTCCTGGTGGGGCCGTGAGTTTGGGTTACATCGATATAAACCTCGTCAGTGAACTATGTTTCATCAATTAGTCGTGATTTTGATTTAGGTCAAATTGTCCAGTCCTAGTTGATATATTTATGTAATCAACTTTGCAAGTTGTGAGCACATAGAAGTTCTACTAGAATAACAGCATCAGAGTTTACCGGTGAGCTTGGGTTTTCCGGCCTGCTCCTCCTCTTTCTGTCTTTTCCTCCTCAGCTCAGCCATTTCCAGGTCAAACTTGGCTTTCCACGCCAGGAAGTTTTCAATGGTTACCACTGTACCCTGGAACGCTACCTGTCAAACACACGCACTTCATTATATTAACATACTATCATTCTTTAACCCAATACTGAACTTAACTTCTGGCTCTAATCTACAAAAATGGATAGAATGATGAGCAAGTTAACCAGATGCGTGAAGTCAAACTTCACTTCACAGGAAAACCTCGGTTCCAGAAACACAGCTTAATAAATATCTGCCTGGACTATACAGACACACTGTGTCCTAAAAGAGAGCTGAGAAATATGACTAAAATGAAAAATATGATATTGATTGATCACAATATAGACATATGGTAAATCTATGGAAACAGTATCCTTGCTTTTCCTACCTTCTCTGCTTCCTCTGCTTCTCTCTCTCTCCGCTGTTTCTCCTCTTCCCGTCTGTTTTTCATCACATCCACAATTTCGTTGAGTGCATCCTGAACAGCTGTTACCAGGGTGAAAATCATCACCATGCCTAGGTTCTCTTCTGCCTGCAGTGTAACCACAGGAGTTAATTATATATCTTATGTCTAAAAATGGTCCAAAGGAAATCACATGGAGTGTTTACATTTTGCAGTCAAAAAGAAAGTCACTGTGTTTATTTAAACGTATTGTTAATAGTGTTTATAATAAAAATGACAAAAAGACAAAAAGCTCTTTGAGGAAATATCAGAATGTTCCTTTCTTCTCCTCAGCTGGATGGGTGTGTCTGTGTTTGACTGACAGCAGCCGGTGTGCTAATGCTACGTTCCAGGCAACTCGGAATTTGGACATTTCTGATCTCCAACTAGAAAAAGGACCGAACGCCACTTGGAAGTTGAAGTTCCTACTTGTGAACTTGTGAGAAAAAAATATGTACCTTGCCAAGCAGCAGCTGAATGACACACAACCAAAGGCAGCTCTGTGTGGCCATAAACTGACGGTAACAAAGTAGATTTGCCTGTATTTTATTAAATGAATACTATCGTAGAGCCAAACCTGCCAAAAAATGTGAAAACATTAGGAAATATAGCCTACAATATTTACTAACTTTTGAAGGTTTCTAACTGGTGTAGCTAGATGGGTATTCATGTATTTATGTCACCTTTTAATTCCCATCAAGGGCACTACTGAGGGCCCTTGACAAAGAAACACCAGTTTATCACAGTAAGGCCCAGGAGAGGAACGAGAGATGAAGTAACCAAACTTATAAGCCATGGGCAGCAGACAGTGTGTGTTAGTGGAGATGAGGACCACTCGTTATTTAAACGTGCCACACTCACATTTTCAGTTTAATGTGCTGCAGCTGAGTAGCTAATAAGCTATCTAGACTGCAAACTGCTGTTAGCAGTGCACTCTCCCTGATTAATATTTCTTTGGTCGCTCGTTACGCTAAGGTGCAGGACAAAGCGTGAGCACGTTCGTGAGTTAGATAAGAAGGAGACTTTAGCAGGAAAGCTGATGTAGATGTGCTAAAATAGAATGCTGACATCAATGCTTTACGCAAATATGGTTTAAAACGAAAAGACCTGATTGGTAGTGATGTGTCCTTCTGTATCGAGGCTTCGAAGCGGGTGTCGAGTAATCCAGGGTGATTTTTGTGAAGCGCGTATCGAGGCTTGTGGTGGTGACTTATGCGGAGACGTTCGAAGCCTGGTGTGCGATTCGAGCAAAATGCAACGGACTTACCCCATATTACCCTAATAATAATTTTCCAAAGCAGGTAAAATCATCTCCAAAAAAAAGAACCGCCTGAAGCCCAGCACTGTGGAAAAGTTATTTTAAATAAAAATGAATAAATGTTGTCTGTATTATCTAAAGTCACAAACCAAGTAGAGGTGCTCTGATCAGGATTTTTTGGGACGATCACCGATTGCCGAAAGCAGTATTGGCCGATACCGATCACCGATCACTGGGTCTATTTGGAGCCTTTTATTTATCATGTAGCATTATACAGTATACTGTATATTTATTTAACTGGTCCTAAAAACAATTTATTAAGTGTTAAAGTTAACAGATGATAAAGTATCATGAAATGACAATTGTTTATTTTATTGCCAGGAAACATGGGCAACAAATTCCGCTCAATCCATGTTAGAGACTTAAACCATAGCATCCTTTGCCTGGTTACTGTGAACATCTTATAGCTTAACAAATATAGCTTTACTGTGGAATAAACTACAAAAACTTCTTTAAAAGCATCTTTATAAATTTACTACAACCATAAAACTGCTGTAGCCAAAATATTTAGGAGATAAAGGAGCACAGGCATCATGAGTCGATGATAAACTCTGAAGTAGCTGCTTTTTGTTCTAGAAAGCTCAGGCAGGTTCTGTGGGTTTTAGGGGTAGAGAGAGGAGTAGAGAGAGAGAGAAGGGCTACAGAGAGGAGTCACAACTGCTTTCAGTGAGATTTGAAAATAAGGAAAATTTAAATAAATAAAAACAGGCTTCAATGTAAATTCCATATTATACAGTCAATTGTTAATATTACATAGGCTACTATATTCATTCTAATTTCATATGGTTTGCCATCATTAGGCTATAGGCCTTATATCATTTCAGTGGATTGTTTTCATTTTTAATCCTTGCAGGAAGCACAGTCTACATATCTGACATGCTGCCACCAACTTTACCAGAGGAGAGAATAGCAAACAAGGTTTTTATTTGATTTCATAAAGGTTGAAAATACGGGAGATTTACGGGGAAACATTTAACGGGTGGATACCAGGTGAGAACAGAAAAATACGGGAGAATCTCGGGGAAAACGGGAGGGTTGACATGAGAGGAGTAGAGAGAGGAGTGGGGTAATGTGAGGCTACATCCACACTGCTACGTTTTTAAAACAGTTTTATAACGAAAACGATCTTCTCCGTCCACAGCAGCGTTTCAGCTGCGCATCAGAGTTGATCTCTGTCTATATTAAAACGACTGAAAACACACATCTAGTGTGTTCAGGTAGCTACACTGGGCATGCGCCTGCCAGTGTAAACATGAAGCAGATGGTCTACTCTGCAGTAGCAGACGATTTAAAGAATAAAAGAAGAAATTAATACAGACCAAGAACCACACCAGGCTTTTTTCTTTCTTTTTTTTGCATTGACCGGCAACGAAGACCAACTCACAAAGCTAAATGTGAGTGTGTGTTATCGTTTTATAAAGTCCTCGGTTTTGTCCATCGGGTCAGCAGCGTTTTCAAACAAACATCTTCTGATTCACCGTTTTAATCTGGACGGGAGGCGGAAACGTAGCAAAAGGTCTCCGTTTTTGTAACGAAAACAGAGAGAGGCAGTCAGCTGACCGCTCTTTGCATCAGGAAACTCACACTGAAGGATCAGTCTCTCTCTCTGCCTGATGTGTGTTAAACTCCAGTTGAATGAGTGAGATGAGCACAGCTGCGACAGTTTCACATGATCGCTCCTGCGTGTTGCTCCACTTGTCTGATTGCTGCTCAACTCTAATTGTAAATGATAATGTGGGCGCATTAATCCCTTCTTGTCTGAGAAGGACTTTGGTGCTAGCTAGCTTTGAAAACCGCTCAGACAGCGTAGTGAAACATTTAAGCTGCCGCTGAAAATTTGTCTGGCGAGTACTGCATCATCTGATCGGCCTTTTTAGCGACCACCGATCAAACTAGTTAAAGCCATTATCGGCTGATTATGATCGGTGACGATCGGAGCACCCTTTAAAACCAAGTAACAAGCACATTTACATCCCTCTCCCTTGTTTCGACTTTCTCTATTGACTGTTTTACATTTATTGTCCACTTGATGGCACACTAGAGCAAATGAAGCACCGTGAAGCTTCGGCCCATGAGCGAACCAACTGGATGGAAAGCTTCAATGCTTCATGAAGCTTCGTCTCGCCATAACTACTGATTGGCTGCGCAGAAACTGACAAATGAATGTAAAACAAGGGGGGCACTGTCATGAAACCACATAATAAAAAATATAAATTTCTCCCCTTCGCTTTGTCAAAGGAGAAACATATTTTACAGCATGTCTTTGTAGCTCTGAACATTGGTTTAAAGGGTTATAATCCAAGAATATCTTCAAAATAATATACTGGACAAAACCCATACAGAATGTTGGTTTTCTACAACACAGGGCGGCTGTGGCTCAGTTTCTGTTTGAGCTCAGGGGCTCAGTGTATGAATGGTGAATGCAGATGTAGTGTAAAAGCGCACTGAGTGGTCGAAAAGTCTTGAAAGGCGCTATACAAATACGGATCCAATCTATGTTTCACACACAGGCAGCGGACCAATATAAATATTCTGTTCAGACCTGTTGCTGAAGTAAGGTGAGGATGTCCTCCACGTCACTGTCCTCTAGGTTCTCCTGGGAGTAGATCTCCCACAGCGGTGGCTCATCTGGGTATTTCTCTACATATGTGAACTTTAATGTTGCTTCCACAGCTGCAAGAAGAAAACACACAGTCAACATTCATCTTTGAATCTTACCCACACAAATCAACTCTGTCATGTTATTTCACTCCTTCATTCAAAGAATGAGCTGAGATTTTATAACAGTGTTTAACTGACTTGTGTGAAATGGATGACATTCTGCAACCACATCACTCTACTGCTGTGACAATGAGATAAATGTGAAGAAAAAGCCACTGGTTCTGGTTCTTGAGGGGCCTTTTTAGAAACAGTTTGACTGCCTGACACATACACAAGACATAAAAAGAAGAAAGCAACCTCATTTTGAGATTAAAAGAACAGAAGGAAGGTTTGTCTTTGTAAAAGATGGTGACAACCCATGTTTGATGTCTTTTCTGCATGATTCACATTTGTGTGAATCATTTACAATGAATAAGAGGAGAAATTCTAATACTGTCTTGTTTTTAAATTGTGACCTACTAGATCTGGTCTTTATGCATAGTAAATTAGAAGAGATTAAACAATCATAGTTTCTTGAATTTACATGATATTCCTTATTGTTAATTTGTGACTAGAGCAAAGGGGTGTTTGCTACTACTGGCAGGAAGTGTACACTACCTATAAAAAAGAGGAAGGATATAAGGTGAGAATGTAAGAACCATTCAATCTGATGGCTACGTTCTGGCAGCCAATGAATGTTTGGAAACGGGGTGAGGTCCTTTCTGCCAATAAATTATTTAAGTTGCTGACCCTAGAGCTCAGGGGGAACTTCTTGGGGCTTCTTTTTTTGGATCAGTAAGAGTTCAGTATAGCAGAGTTTTGTGAGACTTTGTAACACTTTTTTAGCATTTTCTGAAAACAAATGTTTCTCTTTAGGTGGACATCAGAGGGAAACTAAAAGGTGTTTATTTTCTTTATGTCTTTATTTTCTTCCCCCCTTCCGGACTGGTAAGTTAGGTTTTCACCTTACATCCACACTGCCTGCACCTACACAACTCATTACAGATAAACAGCAAACTGGCTATGTTTCCAGTGCCCCACTAGTGGTTGACTAGGAAACCTTTGAACCTGGAGTTAGAAATGTAATACAGACGGTCAGGCCAGTACCTCGTATTAAAACTAGCTTGTTATCAGGGGCCAGTGGACGTTACAATACTCACTTTCACCATTTTCCCCTGCATCTGATGTTACAGTGATGGTGAAGCTGGTCGGGTCATCTGAAAGCACTACAAACACACATGGATTAGTAACGACATTTTTCTATAAACAGGTTTACCTGCACTTACCCTGGGCCAGTAAACACATCTGATGGCTCAGAGCAAGCTGCCCAGGTTACCTTAGACATCGTCAAGAATTTACGTTTAATAAATGGTGTAAAGATTGTCATCATGTACAAACGTCACAGCCCCCCGTATACCCAAAACACGTTGGTTTACGGTATGTACACATCCATTTTATATTGTCTTCTTCAATGTGGGAAGAATTCCACCGAATCTGAACAGAGTTTGGCCTAACGTTAACTACTTTTCTGTCCAGAGGATCTAGTGAAGGGCCCATTGTGTCTTACATTAAGCTTGACTAAGTTAACGTTAAAACGACAATAACAGTTACACATCTACACCACTGGGCGCCAAAAGAAATAGTTAACGTTAGCTGGTTTTGTTGGATTTGTCCTCATGGGTAGCATAAACACTGCTCAGCGAACTACCGTTTTTGCTAGCCTGCGAGCTAGCAGTCTGTCAGTTTTCTGTCTAAACTGATGAAATTCAAACCTGTAAACGAGTCTGGGTAGATGGACTCTATCGCTTCAAGCTCATTCCTTTGCTCCTCGGCGTAGTCTGTCATTTTTATGTGGCTGCGGTTTATCTAGAAGTTAGAAAAATCATCACCGCTCACGTTAGTTCTGTTTAAGCTAACACACTGCGTGCTCCCAGTGCGGATCGATGATGTCGGGATTCGGACTTTTTGGTCTGATAGCTGAATAAAGCTGTCAAGTTCTGCAGGTATTCATTTGGGCGATATGCCACTGTTTGACCGAATGGGCACTATCACGCCAGATTAGCGCATGCATCTGTATGTTAGGTATTACTGTTGTATTTACTACTTGTTAGCTTCAGTATGTCAATGACAGCGCAGCTCTTCTGGTATCCATACTTTATGTCTGCAAGCTGACAGGAAAGGAAATGTTTTTTTCACTTTATTGACATCTTTAATAAACAAACAGGCATCTTTGTAATGTTACATGGATATACCAAAAATTAAAGAAGATCCAAGAAAAAAATAAATACATAAAAAATAAAATAAATTAAGGGGATTTAATCAAAATACAATGAAAGTAACTCAAATAATCTCAAGGCACTCTAATTTTCAGCATTTTCAATAACTGAAAAAAAATTACACTTATGAATATAAAATTTTGCTCTATTGAAGATATTACACAAGAAGTTCATAAAACAACCAAACTTCACATTATGGTAAACAAACACAGGTATTACATTGTTTGTACCTATCCAATCATCAGATTCAGAATCAGAAGGAGCTTTATTGCAAAGTAGTGTTTTACACATACGAGGAATTTGCTTTGGTGATAAGGTGCTACACGCAGACAAACATAAAGCTGACATAAATAGATGTAGAAATATAGAAATATGGAATAAGCAAATGCAAGTTATATAAGAATAACAGAAGAATAGAGAAAAATAATACAACTGACAAAATAAAATAATAATAATAAAAATAACAATGGAACAACAACAATTTACAATTAATAATTATTACAATTAATATGTGCAATGTGCCAGGTTTGAGTGATATTTACATGTGCAGAGACGATTGTATTATTTGAAGGGGGGGGGGGTCAGTGGGGTCAGTGTTAATGAGGCTAGCTGCAGACGGGTAGAAGCTGTTTTTGTGAGAGAGGTTTTGGTCCTGATGGACCGCAGCCTCCTGCCAGAGGGGAGAGTCTGAAACAGTTTGTGTCCGGGGTGGGAGGAGTCAGCTGCAATCTTTCCTGCACGTCTCAGAGTCCTGGAGGCGTACAGGTCCTGAAGAGAAGGAAGATTGCAGCCAATCACCTTCTCTGCAGAGTGAATGATGCAGCCTGCCCTTGTCCCTGGCAGTGGCAGCAGCGTACCAGATGGTGATGGAGGAGGTGAGGATGGACTCGATGATGGCGGTGTAGAAGTGCACCATCATTGTCTTTGGCAGGCTGAACTTCTTCAGCTGCCGCAGGAAGTACATCCTCTGCTGGGCCTTCTTGGTGAGGGAGGTGATGTTCAGCTCCCACTTGAGGTCCTGGGAGATGATGGTGCCCAGGAAGCGGAAGGAGTCCACAGTGGGGACTGGGGAGTCACACAGGATGATGGGGGAGGATGGGGGAGGGTGGGGGTGGGCTCTTTCTGAAGTCCACGACCATCTCCACGGTCTTCTGAGCGTTGAGCCCAATGAGGGTGGTGTGGTTCGCAAACTTCAGGAGCTTGACGGACTGGTGACTGGAGGTGCAGCTGTTGGTGTACAGGGAGAAGAGCAGAGGGAAAGACGCAGCCCTGAGGGGATCCGGTGCTGATGGTCCTGGAATCAAAGATATGTTTTCCCAGCTTAACGTGCTGCTTCCTGTCCATCCTGTCATATATTCTGTCCCACAACAATTTAACATTACAGCTGTAGAAAAGATGTTCCTGAGATTCAATATCAGTCTGAAAAAATGGACATACATTACAATCTAAATTAAATCCTACTCTTAATTACATGGATAAATAAATATCATTAATTGTTTTGAAATGAACATCTTTAATTTTAGGAAACAACAGAAATGATAAATATCCAGTTCAAACCTTGAGTGTTCACTCTTGAAAATCTTTTAGACAGAACCTTTCTCTTCACAGGAAGAGGAAAACATTCGTCATTAATGACCTCAAAATTCTGTTATCACATCTTCTTGTGTAAGACGTACCTGTTATTCCATAAAGTGGCCTTACGAGGGGAGAAATTATGCTTATACACCATTTTCCAAGACAGTAATACCTGCATATGATAATCTGATAACTTAAAGCGCCCTCAGCTCCTTGGTGTTGATTAAATTTATGGTAATTTTAATGAAAACAAGTGACTGAAGTGGTCATCCTCAAAAGATAGATAATATTGTACATTATACTTCCTAATGCTTTGGCATTTTTTACATTTTATTGAACAACTTCTTCAGGGGTTGGGCTTGGCCCCTTAGTTCCAGTAAAAAGAACTGTTAATGCTTCAGCATAGCAAGACATTTTGGACAATTTCATGCTGCCCCCTTCCTGTTCCAACATGATGCGCACCAGTGCACAAAGCAAGGTCCATAAAGACATGGATGAACAACTTTGGTAGAGAACTTGACTGGCCTGCACAGAGTCCTGACCTCAACCCGATAGAACACCTTTGGGATGAATTAGAGCGGAGACTGTGAGCCAGGCCTTCCTCCAACATCTGTGCCTGACCTCACAAATACGTTTCAAGAAGAATGGTCTTCCTGAATATTCACATTCCAACCTGCTAATGTGATAAAATTAGATAATCATACTATCATGTATTTTCCCTGACTTGTCGTCCCTTTAACCAAGATCAGTCATCCCTTTCATCTATAAAAAGGTCATCAGTGCTTTTATCTCCTCCAGACTTGATCTTATTCTGGTATCACCAAGTGAAAAATCCAAAGACTGCAACTTAAAGAAAATGCTGCTGCCACATTCTAATATAAGTGAACACATCACACCAATCCCTGCGCTGCTTTCCCGTTAGTTTTAGAATTGATTTATTACTAGTTTTTACTGCCGTGAATAGTCAGGCTCCTGCCTCTACCTGTGATCTGAGGTAGAGATGAGCCCGACTGCTGCTTCAGGTGCCTCTGGGAGGGCCCTACTAATGGCTCAAAAATCTCAACGCTGTCACTGACAGCGACTTTACTGTCTGGTCCCTCAGCTGAGGCAGGCAAACTCAGTACGCTCTTTTAAATCTTTTCTTAAACCTTTATTGTTTTATATTTTATGTTTTGAATTTAATTTGGTGTCTTTATACTGTAATCAAACTGTGACCCAAAAAACTATAGGCAAGAGTCACACATGTCATACAGTAAATAAAATTTATTATCATTGTTGAGACAACACACAGATTCCTCAGTCAAATGGAAATAAAAAGTCAGCTGTTCTCAGTCCCTGGACACTGCTGTAACTGAAGTTCTTCTCTCCACGTCAGTCAGCAGCCACACCTGCATTTCATTTGGCTCCTGATGCTGAGGGGAAGCAGCTTTATAAATATCAATGCTCCTTGGGTGTGTGGTGTGCGTGGAGGGAGGGGGGTACAGGTGGATGTAGAGGCTCATTTGCGTTGAACTTGTGTGAAGGATGAGGGCAGCTGGATGGGCTGGACAGATTGGAAGGGCTGGACGGTTTTCTTGCGGGAATCTGGGGAGACCCTCTGCACCACTGTCGGCAGCAGCTGGTTCCGTTTGATGATCTGCAGGGCAAGCTGGGTGTTTCCTGAAGACACACGACAGGTACAGGGATTATCTCCAAATTTTTACCCCTCACTCACATTCTAAACAAAGGAGCATCAGGTAGTAGACCACATCATTCAGCTGGATTCATTCAGGCGCTAATTCAAGTCCGACCAGACAGAGATGAGTGCTTGTCATTACGATACTGGAGGATACTAACTAATATCAAAATGATAACTTCCTTGATCTCCAAAACTGATTAAACAAAGAAACAACAAAGATCCTCGTATGTACCGCTGTGTATTCAGCGTGACTAAATGCAAAATGCTTTGTGAAAATATATGTGTATAAAATGACCAAAATGAGGGTTTGAATAAAAGGTTATCAGATTTAAAGAATAATAAACAAGACAAGACTCTGTTTTTGAAGTTGGTCATACAAAAACAGTGTTTCCTGCATAGAGATTTACGAGGTGGCAGGTTCGGTCAGATTTGGTTCCGCCTCCAGCACGGTGTCTTCATATTTTCTAGTAAGTGTTGCTCTTTGTGGATTTCTGCCATTTGTAACTTCAGTTGCGGCATTACACAGACGTCGTACTCAGCACAGCGCACCAGGAAAGACGCTGCAAAACTTCCAGAGGAAGAAAAGAGCTGTCTGATTGGCTGGACTGCAGCTCAGGGTGCGTTTCCACCCGCAAAAACAATCACTAAAGAAAACAAAACTGTTCCATGTTGTAATATAGTTTTATATTGACAGGAGGCAATGCAGCTGCAAACGCTGCTCTGTGCGCCTCTGTGACTGAATGCCGTCCTATACACAGACTACAAAGCAAGAGTGTGTTTGTCTCCACCGATGAAATGTGACAAAATAAAAAGTTTCCACTTTATCTAATAGAAAAGTTCAAACAGATATCTGTAGAACATATTAGTCTGAGAACATGTCGACATACTGAGAAAAGGCAAATCATTTCAATAAGTAAATAAAATAAACAAAATCCATTATAAATGACTTGTAAAGGTGCGGGAGGGGATCACTTAAAATACAATTACTTTAAAGAGGCTTTCCCCCTCTCCTTTATTGAGTTATCTCTCTTTTTTGTGCAGGTAACAGGTTTGCAAAGTGAAAAAGCCCAAAGTTCAGCCCAAAGGGAGTTCCCATCTCCCACAGAAAGCTCTGCTCTGAACTGAAAACAGCTTGTTTGTAGTCCAGCCGCTTCCCTTTCATCCCTGTGACGTCACAGCAAAATGTGCGTCATAATGCTCGCCAAGCGGCTAGTCACGCCCTCAAAAACACTGCTACACCACACAGTAGCTGTGTTTCCATCACAATTTTTTATGCACATTTTGAAGTGTCGCATTAGAAAAGCTTGATGGGAAAACGGCAAAATTCGAGAAAATAAATCCTGAAAGTTTTTAGGCTCACTTGAGGTGGTTTTTGCCTTTGTTGAAAAAGAGTTAATGCGCTAAATGGAAGATGGAAACACTTTTGCCGAATA